CATCCACCATGTCATCCGGTCCTGGCTTTGTGCCACGTTATCTCTCGTCATTGACTAGTCACCAGTCTTTGCCGCCATCCAAGGGGTAGGGGTAGCCCACGCACACGGATGCGCGACTGGATTCCGGGATGTGTGCGCGCTCTCCCACTGCGGCCAAGAAGTAGGCGTTTGAAGCTCAGTTTCACTCTGGGGTCTGCGGTCATTACCATTGCGCCAAATTATGCTGGGATTTTAGGGGTTTTCTGGGACTCTTGGATCTGTAAGTTAGAATTAAAAAAACAACAACCAAACAAAACAAATGTTGGGGCATACCTGGGTGGCTTAGTCAGTTGAGGATCTGACTCTTGATCTCAGCTCGGGTCTTGATCTCAGGGTTGTGAGTTTAAGCCCTGCACTGGGTTCCAAGCTGGGCATGGAGCTTACTTGAAAAAAAAAAAAAAAATGGGGGAATTGCGCATTATTACTGCTTCAATATCATTCTCTTCTTCTCCGTGGGTTGAAATTGTTTCTTGTTGGGCTGCCTGATATTGTCCATAGACCCCTTCATGATTCTTTTTGTAAAATTTTTAAATATTTTATTTATTTACTTGACACAGAGAGTACAAGCAGGAGGTGCGGCAGGCAGAAGGAGAGGGAGAAGCCGGCTCCCCGCTGAACAGGGAGCCCCATGTGGGGCTCGATCCCAGGATCTCTGGGATCATGATCTGAGCCGAAGGCAGACGCTTAACCAACTGAGCCACCCAGGCGCCACCCTCTTTGTGATTCTTAATTCTGTTCTCTCTTCCTCCGATTGGGTGATTCCTACTGATGTGTCTTCACATCGACAGTCTTTCTTATTCTATCGGCTGGGACCCCGATGCCTGGACTCACGCTGTGTGGTCTGCACTTGTCCTCCTGCACCTGCTGCCCAGTGCCCGCACCGCAGGATTTCCCACTGTTTCGGGAACGTGCCCATCTCTGCGCTGGCGTCCTCACGCCCCCAGGGCTGCTTCTGCTTGGAACCCCGCCCCTCCCCCCGCCCCAACATCCCCCACGTCGTGCCTGCTCAGCGTCGCCTCCACACACAGCTCCCCAAACCACTCGTCAGCACCCCCATTCCTCTCCACCTGCTGAGCCTGTTTCCTTCCTGGGGCTCAGTCCGTCCTGGCATCATTTCATGCGTTAACTTTCATGCTTTTGCTTATTCATTGCCCCACAAGGCTCACGAGGCTAGGACGTCTCTATAGCCAGCCCCCAATATACATTGGTTCATGATCAAATCAATGATTGTATAGATTACTAGAAGGCAGAAGCTGGTCAACTTTCTATAAAGGAAAGAGAGTAAGTTTTTCAGGCTTTGCAGGGGTTTGGTCTCTCTCACAACCGCTCCACATTGTACTGCAAGCCCTAGACAGCATGTAAGCAAATGAGCGTGGCTGTTTCCAATAAAGCTTTATTTACAAAACAAGGAGAGGGCCAGATTTGTCCCACAGACTGTCCTGGTTCCCAGTTTGCAGATCCCCAGTTTAATGTTTTCCTGTGCAAAATAGAAGCTCAAGAAGCATTACTGTCTCAAAGTCACCACCGATGGCTGTGAGACAAAAAGGAATAAAGGATGCGATACCCAGTGGGGCCAGCAGTGCTCTGTGCACAGTACTGGTCTGGAGAAACAGCACGAGCCCCACGTAAAGGCAAACCAGAACATTCTGTTTACAGAAGAAGGAATTGGCCTCTCAGCCACTATAATGAGTGGAGCAAAACACAGGGGAGCGCATCCCAAGACAAGATGTTGGGGAAACAACTATGAGGAAGTCAACAGCTGTGCTTCTGTGTTGCCGGGACGCCTACTGCCCGGGTATAAAGGCCGCCTGGGGCAGGAGCCTCCAGAACTCACCGCCCTCCTCCCTGACTCCACTCCAGCCCCACGCCACCATGTGCCACACCAGCTGCTCCACGGGCTGCCAGCCGGCCTCCTGCACCCCCAGCTCCTGCCAGACGTCCTGCTACGTGCCCGTGATCTGCCAGCCCACCATGTCTGTGCCCGTGAGCTGCAGGCCTGCCATGTCCGTGAGCTGCAAGCCCGCCGTGTACGTTGTCCCCTCCTGCCAGTCCTCTGTGTGTGTGCCCGTGAGCTGCAAGCCCCTCGTGTTCATGGCCTCCTCCTCCCAGTCCTCCGGGGGCTGCCAGCCCTCCCACCCCACCCTGCTCTACAGACCCATCTCCTGTAGCACCCCATCCTGCTCCTAACCGGGATCCCCCCCCCAGCTGCTCCCAGGGCACAGGGGGCCACATCTGCGCCCCTCCTGGAGCAAGTCTTCAGCAGCCTCTGGGTTCTGCAAGGGCAGATGAAGAACGTGCCCAGTGGACCTTCGAAAGCCCATGGCGAGGATGTGGCAGGATGACCCAGATCCCTCTGTGACCCAGCGTGTCCCCTGGGGGAAGCCTAGTTTCCGGGGTCCTCTGTCTCCAGTGGCAACCAGCCATCTGTGAGCCAAATAAACCATGCTTTTCTGATGCAGCTCTGCGCGCCTGTCTTCTGTTTCTGCACACCCTGTCTGTGCTACAAAGTGGGGAAGGCTAAGCCCCTTCTCACAGCGGCTCACGGAAAGTGGGAGCCCCTGTGGAGGGCATGGTGGTGCACGTGGCTGGGGGGCGGGGCGTCACGTCAGATGTCCTGTGTCCTGGCTCCCGTGTTCCGGAAGGTTGAGTCCAGCTCCTAACTCTTTGTTACGTTAGATCTGCAGAACCCGACCAGGACTGGCCCCTGGCTATGACTCACTTCTATTGCTGGTCCACGTGTGGCCCATTTTTAGCTGATGGCTGATCAGTTATTGGTTATTATAACCACCCCAGGAACCTACTCCCTAACGTGGATGCAAGGACAGCATCAGCCCTTCACCGCTGGCTTCTGGGGTAACCACCATCAGATCTGTGTGCTCTCTGCTGCCTTTTGAGACACAGCGGAGCCACACCTCTGTGCCCTGGAGAAGCGTGCTTTCTCCCGCAGCCTCCGAATGATGGTAGGAGGCTGTCCCACATGTACTGGCCTTGAACTCGCTTCCACCGCATGCGTTCTTGTGAGGATTCCTGTGCGTGCGTCCTCTTGACACTTCCCTGCTGCTCTACCCGTGGCCGCTTCTGTACAAGAGCAGATGTGGGTGCTGGGGTACTGGGGGCAGGAGGGCCTAGCCGTGCGCTGTCCTCATCCCTCCTTTGCCACCTGGGACCCTTCCATCGAGGCCAGCTGACCCCCTGTGTCTCCCTGCTGCAAGGCAGTCACCTTGTGCGTGTTGGGCATTGCCTCAGGTGGGTGCATGGGGCCCGCTGTGTGGTCGCGGGACACAGCTTCCCTCTTGCTGTCCTGAGAGCGGGCACCATCCGGCAGCCTGGGGCCATGGTGGAGATTTGGGGAATTTGGCTTCTCAATCACCCGGTCTCCACAGACACCGCAGCTCCACGGCTTGTTTCTGGGGGTTTGTTTTGGGATGAATTTTCTGGGTCAGAGAGTGGGTGCATTTGAGACCCACTGGCCTGGCACCTCACTGGTGTGTAGCAGGAGGGGGCCTGGCTGCAGGCCACTGGGCAGCAGAGGGACGGGCAGCCACAGGCCAGCCGGCAGGAGGCACAGCTCAGCCATGCAGGGGACACCACGTAGCGGGCACAGCAGAAACTCCCCTGGCCTGGGGGAGGGTGCCGCCCAGGGGTCCCGCAGCAGAGCAGCACGCGTGGTGCACAGGGGCTCGAGGCTGGGCTGGGCCCGGGCAGGGGACATCAACACAGAGCGGAATGGCCGTCTCCCTGGACGTTCCCCTGGACATTCCCACCACCCAGGTGTCTGTATTTGATGTGTTGGCTGCGCTGCTTGGTCCACGACACCTGTCACAGGCTCTGCAGCCCCGCCCGCCACAGGGAGGAGCCTGGTCCTCTGTTTCCGGTCAGTTCTATACTTGACCTCCCAAGCAGGTGTGGTGTGGACAGCACCACTGACTTGACTCAAACCTGCCCCAGTGTCTCGGACATCAGAGGACCGGGAACCAGGAGACAGCCTGGGAGAGGCCCCTGAGCGTCCCTCCCCAGACCTGCTCGGCTGGGCACCTTCTGTCTGTCCCTGTCTTCTGCCTCACCCGCCTCCACCTGCCTGTGCCACAGACAACACGGGCGTGCACACAGGCACACACACGAGCAGGCTCACACGTGAGCACACACACGAGCGTGCACACAAGAACACAGACGAGCACGCGCACGCGCACATACTTGGGTACACACATGAGCACACAAGAACACACATAAGCATGCACAGAGGTGCACACACGTGCACACACACATACAGACACTTGGGCACACACATGCACGCACACATGCACACACATGCCGCAAGGGCACACACAGAAGCACACACACGCACACAGAGGCACTTACACACAGCACTCTGCGGAAACTGGCCAGTGGGAATTCCCGTGAGGCTCACGGTGTAGGTAGGACCCCAGACGCCCGCGAGGGGTACCTTCCGCTACGTTGCTGCACGAGAGGCGCCGCAAGAGAAAGGCTGCTGGCAGGGTCTGGAGAAGGGAAGGAGTTTTACTGGGTTAGAAAAGCCATCCCTAGCGCCCCTGCAGGAACCCCGCTTGAGATTGGGGTTGATGACCCCAGCGCACGTCTTCACCCATGTTCTGAAATAAAGCAGTACATTCTGGCATGTTTTTTAGCATTTAAATGGCATATTATACCCTGCGTCTTTTTGTAACATGCTTTTCTCCCCTTAAACGTTGTGTTGGAGCCATCCATCCCAGACAACACCCGTAGCCCCTGCCATTTCTGTTCACGGCCGTCTAGTATTCCACCGAACGCATATGCCGCAATCGGCTGATTCTCCTTCACCCGCACGAGGCCGCACGTAATTTTTAGCTACTGCCTCGGATGCTGCCAGTTTCCATTCTTCTAACTTTTCTGGCGCACGTGACCAGTGTTCCTCTCTCCAGAAGTGCTCCTGCTCATGCACGGCCATCGCCTACACTGGAGTGTGGAAACCCCTGTGAAGAGTGGCCGTCCCCACTTCACACCCCAGCTGCCATGGCATCGGATACCCTGTCTTTAAATTTTTTTCATTTAAACTCAGTTAATTAACATATAGTGTATTATTATTTTCAGAAGCAGAGGTCAGTGATTCATCAGTGCTCATTCCATCGCGTGCCCTCCTTAATGCCCATCCCCCACTTAACCCATCCCCCACCCCTTTCCCTCCAGCAGCCCTCAGTTTGTTTCCTATGATTTAGTGTCTCTTATGGTTCGTCTCCCTTTCTGATTTCTCAATGTATAAAAATGCAACTGATTTCTGTGCATTGATTTCATATCTTGCCACTTAATGAATTCCTGTATGAGTTCTAGCAATTTTGGGGTGAAGTCTTTTGGGGTTTCTACATAGAATATCATGTCATCTGCAAAGAGTGAGAGTTTGACTTCTTTGCCAATTCAGACGTCTTTATTTCTTTTTGTTGTGTGATTGCTGAGGCTAGGACTTCAGTACTATGCTGAACAACAGTGATGACTGGGCATCCCTGCTGTATGCCTGACCTTAGGGGGAAAGCTCTCAGTTTTTTTCCCATTGAGAATGATATTTGCTGTGCGCTTTTTGTGTATGGCTTAGATGATATTGAGGTGTGTTCCTCTATCCCTACACTGACGTTCTAACCAAGAGGATGCTGTACTTTGTCCAGTGCTTTTTCTGCATCTTTTCAGAGGATGTTATGGTTCTTGTCCTTTCTTTTTTTAATGTGGCGTATCATATTGATTGATTTGTGGATGTTGAACCACCTGGCAGCCCAGGAATAAATACCACTTAGTCATGGTGGATAGTTTTTTTTTTTTTTAAAGATTATTTATTTATTTATTTGACAGACAGAGATCCCAAGTAGGCAGAGAGGCAGAGAGAAAGAGAGAGAGGAAGGGAAGCAGGCTCCGTGCTGAGCAGAAAGCCTGATGCGGGACTTGATCCCAGGATCCTGAGATCATGACCCAAGCCAAAGGTAGAGGCTTTAACCCACTGAGCCACCCAGGTGCCCTGTGAACAGTCCTTTTATTTTTATTTTTTCATTTTTTATTACTTTTATTTTAAAAAATTTTTATTTATTTTTAAAATTTCTTTTCAGTGTACCAGAATTCATTGTTTATGCAGCACAGCCAGTGCTCCATGCAATACATGTCCTCCACAATACCCACCACCAGGCTCATCCAACCTCCCACCCCCACCCCTCCAAAACCCTCAGTTTGTTTTTTCAGAGTCCACAGTTTCTCATGGTTTGTCTCCCCCTCCAATTTCCCCCAGCTCCCTTCTCTCCATCTCCCCATGTCCTCCATGTTATTCCTTATGCTCCACAAATAAGCGAAACCATATGGTAATTGACTCTCTCTGCTTGACTTATTTCACTCAGCGTAATGAAGAGTCCTTTTAAAATACTGTTGGATCCTCTTAGCTAGTATCTTGGTGAGAATTTTTGCATCCATGTTCATCAGGGATATTGGTCTGTAATTCTCCTTTTTGGTGGAGTCTTTGTCTGGTTTTGGAATCAAGGTAATGACAGCCTTAGAAAAGTTTGGAAGTTTTTCTTCCAAACACAGGCAGAGAGGCATTTCTAATTTTTGAAACAGATTCAGAAGAACAGGTATTCATTTTTCTTTAAATATTTGGTGAAATCCCCCTGGGAAGCCGTCTGGCCCTGAGCTCTTTTTTATTGGGAGATTTTTGATGACTGCTTCAATTCCTTACTGGTATGGGTCTGTTCAGGTTTTGTATTTCTTTCTGGTTCAATTTTAGTGGTTTATAAGTTTCTAGGAATGCATCCATTCCTTCCAGATTGTCAAATTTGCTGATGTATAGTTGCTCATAATATGTTCTGATAATTGTTTGTATTTCTTTGGTTTCGGTTGTGATCTCTCCTCTTTCATTCATGATTTTATTTATTTGGGTCCTTTCTCTTTTCTCTTTGATAAGTCTGGCCAGGGATTTATCATCTTATTAATTCTTTCAAAGAACCAGCTCCTAGTTTTGTTGATTTGTTCTACTGTTCTTTTGGTTTCTATTTCATTGATTTCTGCTCTGATCTTTATTATTTCTCTTCTCCTGCTGGGTTTAGGCTTTCTTTGCTGTTCTTTCTCCAGCTCCTTTAGGTATAGGGTTAGGTTGTGTACTTGAAAACTTCTTGTTTCTTGAGAAAGCTTGTATCACGATACACTTTCCTCTCATGACCACC